GGGGTGGGGGAGGGAGTGGATGAAGGAGAGGAAGGAGGCCAAAAAGGCGCAAGCCAAATCCTCCGCTGTGGATCTACGCTCCATCACTCCGCTTTCTTATTAGACTCCCGTAATTCGACTAACGCCCAAGCCACCTTTGAGCACCTACAACAAAGAACATGCAGCAGCAGCAGGCGAGGAAGATGGTCGCAAAGCAAATGGTGCAGCCAAGCAAGCATGCGAAGCGCCTCGTCGAAAGTCGAAGAAACACGCCCTCCGATAGGCAGGCAACCACCAGCGCGCAAGCTATGGCAAGATTGGGAAGCAGGGCAAGGAGGAGAAGAAGCAGGGAAGCGACGCTGCGAGCTGGTGTGAGGGCCAGACCGGCCAGGACTGGTTCGGCGGGGCAGGTAGAGTCCGCCTGCATGATGCTAGGTTCGAACTGTCCAGGCCCAGGGGTATGATCACAGATCCGGGAAGGTGTCGTCGTCGAGTGACATTAGTACTTCCTCCTCATTCCTCCGTTCCTCGTCCTGGTCCCAGTCCGCGAAGAAGTCAATGTGGCCCGTCGATCTCGTCCTCCAACGCAATCGCGGAAAGAACGGCTTGCCCGCTCGTCGAATTCCGAAGGCACGGTGTTCTGATAAATAGTACCCCTGCGCTTTGTTCTGATATAGTCGCGGCGCGGGTGTAGCGGACCCACCAGGTGTGGTGCTCCGCTAGTGGTAGAGATGGAGATGGAGGAAGAAGGGGGGAGCGAGATGGCACAACGCAGCTCCCCACGCGAGACTCCAATGCACGTACTCCAAAATGTGCAAGTGAAGAATGATGACGAAACAGACAACTGCTGGGATATACCCCAGCGGACTGACTAGACTGAGCTGGACTGGCTGGTACCGATAGAGGTACCGGCCTGGACTGGACTGGACTGCCCCCGAAAAAAACACAGGCCTGTGAGAACAGGGCAAGGGGCTGGTCTCACAGGCCAACCAGAGGTCCGCTACACAATCCTCAGCCTGTGATGGATCGCCTAGATGCAAACACGCTTCCGCCAAGAAGCGGAACTCTACCAAAGAAAAGGAAAACCTGAGTCGTCTAGGATGCGGAGCAAGCTCCATGCTGAGTCCATGCGATGCAACCTAGGATATAAAATGTCACAAAACAGTAATGTCACAACTAACAGCCTAAGTGAAAGCAGAAGCAACTAACTAACATACATGTCATAGGAAAGCAAAAGCAACTAACTAGCATACATGTCCTAGGAAAGCAGGAAGTAGTGACAACTAGATYCTAGAATGTTGRAGGCACTAGCCTCAGTCTGGTAACAWYTGACTAGTGTATAAGTCCTAAGAACARCAAAAGCAGAAYAACTAAATCCTAGAAATGTCARAGGCAGTAGCCTCAGTCTGCRAGCAACAAAGCAACAACAAGTCTATCAYATGTCACATGAGAAGTGTGTCGCAAACCAAAGGGTGGGATGGTCTCTGAGGGTGGCGAATGCAGCCTAGGGGTCGAAAACTCCTAAGGGAATCCACACATAGATAACAGGGGGAAACACATGTCATCAGGCTCAATGAGGGTAGGGAACACGGAGCGAACAGAACCAATGACCCTAACAGATAGACCATCAGGAAGGGTGATGTTCGACTAAGGGGTGACCGCTATGGAGGGTCGACCATGCAAGGGAACAAGGGAGCCTGGTATACTGGGCGCACCTAGATAAAGCATGCGGGGCTGCATAACTAGGGCATGAGGGTCGGCGAGGGGTAGAAAGATGATGGGTAAGGGAATCATGCAAATGACTCCTAAAGTGAGGGAAGTCGGAGCTAGATCCGTAAGATGGGAAGCCAGGTCAACGCTACGGTCCCGATGCCAATGTGTACACCAAGGGAGAGCCCGACTCAAAGGAACCCGGCTAAAGGGAGAGCATCATGCGACACAAGCAGGGTACTGTACAGGGTAAAGTGGTAAGAGAGTGGCGACGTCTGAAGTAGGCAGAGTTGATCGTGACGAAGTTCATGAAGCTGCCAATGACGTCCACGATGAAAAGTCCGGAATGTCGTCGAGAAAGAGTCGCAACGTCGACGAGCTGAAGTAGCAAAACTGAAGTGGATGGAGTACTGAGAAGTCAAGGAAGTGGGAAGGTAAGTCAGAGTCAATCGTCGTATCGAGCAGGACGACGACGAGTTCGCTGTGGACGCTCAGAAGCATTTGGCTGCTGCTGAAGGTCTGCCTTAGATGGAGCAGGCTCGACTTTAGTGGTCTCCTCAACTAGGGGAGGAGGAGGGTCAGTGGGCTGAGGAGGAGCAGTGAACCCAGCACGACGACCACGGTCATAGGCACGCACCAACATGCGAGCGTGTTGCAAGTGCTTGAGGGGCTCCTAGGTAGCCTCCTCATCAGGGTAACCCTTCCAACGTACAAGATACTCGACGTGGGGAGGGTTGTCGTCGGTGACTCGGCGACCAATGGTGTTTGAAGCGAGGAACTCCTCGTGGCTGTCCACCATGATGGGTGGAGGGTGCTCGTATGGTCGTCCAGCGAAACGCTCAGACGGTCTGCGGTAAGGACGCAGTAACGAGACGTGGTAGACATCGTCCACACGAGCCTGACGTAGGTAGTCGGGCAGCTTCACACGAAAGCTGACCGGGCTAGATGCCGTATCAGAACCGACGGCCTGAAGGATGCGGCATGGGCCAAAGAAGCGATGCCGAAACTTGCGAAGCGTGTCCGCTTCGAGCTGTAAGTGGCGGGCGTCGATAAGCACATCATCACCGACTTTGAATGGATGATCCATCCTCGATCGGTTCTCACGAGCTGCCATGCGATCTAGGAAGCGGCTATGTGCTCATGTACGGTCTTCATGATCGACGTCATGTGTGCAACCCAATCATCCACTGCGGGACAACTCGTGTCGGGGTGCAGTTGGGACGGTCGAAGGAAGTCCACGGGAACACGCGGGTGATAGCCGAGGTCGCAATAGTAAGGCGACATCCCCGTGGCTGGTGAGACGTCGTGGTTGTAGGCTATCTCCGCGTGGGCACGATGGAGATCCCACTGCTGGTCGTCACGAACAATCTTTCGGAGAATATCTCCGAGAATCCTGTTCGTGATCTCGGTCTGACCATCAGTCTGAGGATGGTAAGATGAGGAGAAGCGGAGCTGAGTGTCGTACACCTCGTGGAGCCGTCGCCAGAATCGGCTGGTAAAGCGTGGGTCACGGTCAGATATGATGCTCAGAGGTAAGCCGTGGTCACGCACGACTCGGTCAAACACGATTTCGGCGACCTCACGTGCACTGATGGCATAGCGGCACGGAACAAAGAGTGCACGCTTCGTGAAGCGGTCGACGACGACCAGGATAGCATCATGACCGCGAGGGGTTGGAGGACGAAGGGGACCGATAAAGTCCATCGAGATGGACTGCCAACGACCCTCAGGGATAGGAAGAGGCTAGAGAAAACCATAAGGAAGGTGGTTCGCACTGTTCACCTCTTGACAGGTGGGACACTCTGCGACGTAGTCCTTCACAAAGTCCTTGCGCGTCGGCCAGACGTACAGGCGGCTCACATGAGCCAACGTCCTTTGGAAGCTCATGTGACCGGCGGCTTCCTGGTCATGGAACTCTGCTACTGCTCAGACACGTAGCTGTCTTGTGGAGGGAACACAAATACGGGGCTCTCTGGTGCCCTGTGAACCGTGCCAGTACACAAGACCGTTGTCCCCGAGGGAGTAGTTCGGGACGGTCTTGCCACTCCGAAGGGTCGCGTAAATGTCGCGATAGTCAGGGCAGTGGCGGTACTGAGTGCGAAACTCGTCGATCACCGAGTGGTGGACGGTGGTGACCGAGATGGAAGAGAGCTGGATCTGCTCCTGGTCGAGGTCAGGGCGCCGGGATAAGGCATCTGCGACCCGATTAGTTTCACCCTTGATGTGTTGAGTGGTGAAACTAAACTCGGATAAGTCGCGCCACCAGCGAGCCTATCGAGGAGTGAGCTTCGGTTTTGTCAGAAAAGACTGGACAACAGAGTTGTCCGTGCGCACCATGAATGGTGCCCCGTGCAGGTAGTGTCGCCAGTGCCGAGCGGCATAAACTACTGCGAGAACCTCACGTTCATCAGCAGTGTAGTTTATCTCGGCGGGCAGGAGCTGAGGAGAGTACAAGGCTATCGAACAATCACCCGAGCGAGACTCGACAGTGCCGTCCTGGGTGATGGTAGGGGAATAGTCAATAGAAGGTTCGTCAGTAGCTGGACAAGTAGGCGTCAGTCGGGAAGCAGTGGTAGGGGTAGGTGGTGGGAAGCGAGGGATACGAGGATGAGAGGAATCAGTAGAGGAGGGGAAGACCTGGGAAAACACCGCTGCTACAGCAAAGTCTGACGCATCGGTGGTAGAGATAAAAGGGCGATCAAAACCGGGTAGGTGAAGAACCGGTGCGCATGTCACCGCCTTCTTGAGAGCGCGGAAGGCGTCCTCATGGAGGGGTGTCCAAGCCCAGGGTGGGTTCTTCCGGAGGAGGGTGGAGGTAAGGACATAGGAATACCTAGCGTATCCCCGGATGAAATTAGTATAGTAGCTGGTCAGGCCTAGGAAGCTGCGAAGCTGCTTGGCGGATGTGGGAGCGGGCCACTCCGCAATAGCAGTGATCTTCGCATCGTCAATTTGGAGACCCTGGTCAGACACGTAGTGTCCTAAGAAATCCACTTTGTGCTGGGCAAAGCGGCACTTGCTCAGCTTGGCGTAGAAGCCATGTCTGCGCAAGCGGTCAAGGACGTCGCGGAGGTGTCTGAGGTGCTCCTCAAGGGTACGACTGTAGACCAGGATGTCGTCGAGGTACACGAGAACGTACTGCTCCAGGATGTCCCTGAAGATGACGTTCATCGCCCTCTGGAAGGTAGCGGGTGCGTTGGTGAGGCCGAATGGCATCACCGTGAACTCCTAGTGGCCGAATTGCGATCGGAACGCGGTCTTCGGCTGGTCGGCTGCAGCGACGCAGATGTGATGGTAACCGCTACGAAGATCAATCTTCGTAAAAAAGCGGTTGCCTGCTAGGCGGTCGAACAACTCATCGGAGCGAGGCATGGGGTAGCTGTTTTTAACCGTGTAGCGGTTGGGACCGCGGTAGTCGATGCAGAGACGGAGAGTTCCATCCGCTTTGCAAGCAAAGAGGACGGGTGCACCCCACGGGGAGTTGCTGGGTTTAATGAAACCCAGTCTCAGGAGCTCCTCAAGCTGACGCTTGAGTCTGGTGGCCTCGGGGATCGAGACTTTGTAGGGTGCCTGGTGGTGAACACGATAGTCAGACACAAGTTGAATGGAGTGCTTGACGTCACGCATCGGTGGGATGCCGGCGTACGAGAACGACGATGGGAAAACGTCGTGGTACTCTCGGATGAGGTCACGAACTGCGGGCTCCAGGTCAGTCGTATATCGTGCGAGTTCCTCAGCGCCAGCGTCAGCGCCCGACGACGGGGTGGACTCGACGGACGGCGGAGGGATGGAAGTAGAGATGGGAGTCATGGAGATAAAAGGAGGATCTAGCTCCCGAGGGATGATCTCAGCGTCTGGACAGGGTGGATCATAGTGTAAGAGATCCGTCACGTCCACCATAAAGAAGGTGACGTCGTCCTGTCGGATGAAGTGGGCGAACTACCGAGGCGAGGTGACAGTGATGGAAGGAGACGATGTGGGCACGGAAGGCTCCGGGGGAGGAGGATCGGGGCGTGGTGTTGCACTGGTACCTATGAAAGGTACGCGATACGTCTGTCCACACTTCGTTTTGAGAACGAGAGTGTTGGTTGCCGAATCGGCCTCGGTGCTGCGAAACTGACGAGACCACGGAGTGTCGAGAATGAAGTCGTACCTCGTCTTTATCACATCGAAATGTGCATAGGAGCGGTGGCGACGAGACGCCGGGGAACGATCAGTCGGCTCGAGAGTGAGGAAGAAAGGGAAGCCAGTGATCGTTTGATCGAAGAAGCGTCGGGTCTTGTCATCCCCTAAGGTAACAGAGATGGGAGTCGGAGACCCTGTCGTGGGTAAGCGGGCTTCTTTCACTACACGTGGGTGAATGAACTCGCCCTGAGAAGCGGAATCCCACAACGCTGAGTACACACTCGTGGAGGTCCCAGTCGTACGGGGATGATCGGGAGGGTGCGATCAGGGTCAGAGAGGATGGTGAGAAGGCGACGCAATGCAGTGACATGGAGGGTGAGTCGCTCCTGACGAGCCTGGAGCATGCTCAAGTCCAGAAGAGAGGACACAACGTCCTCGTGAGTAGCGAGCTGCTCGCTGCAACGGGCTGAGCGAATGGCTCGGCTTGTCGGTAGTCGCGGCGGGGAAGGATGGGAGAGTGGTCTGCGGAGGCGCAAACGGTACTGCGACAGAGGGCTGAGTACACTCTGTCGAGTCCTGCGATACCTCAGCTCCAAAAGCGAGAGGGGCGAACCGCGACGGAGATGTCGGGAAGCCCACTACTGAGGAGGGCGCAGGTGTACACTGCACCGTGGTTAGGAGGCACCGCGGGGATGCGGGGCGCCGGGAGGGGACGAAGCACGACGCTGGCCGGAAAGGTCAGCGTAGTGGCGGTCAAGAGCGGTGGTGTATTGGCACCGCGAGGAGGTATGACCGCCATGACGGCATCGCAAACACCCACGTCGGCCCATAATAGCCGCGTGCTCCTCAGCGGAAAGAACACCGCGAGGAGGAATAAAGTCGTGAGGGAGGTCCTGCTGAGGGACCTCGGGGGGCGACGCGCCAGCGTGACCAGGGCGGTTGCGTGCCCGGGAAAGGGTGGAAAGGATAAGCGGGAGGCGCTCAGCCATAGGGAGAGTAGGGTCCTCCAGGTGGTGTTGGACGACATCGCCGAGGTCGAGGTCATCGCTATGATCACCCTCTGGCGACAGCGGGGCACCAGCGTCCTGCTCACCATACTCGAGCGCGCTGAAGCGGCGCGAGACGTGGCGGCCCTGCTGCGCGGAACGGCGGGGGCGACCGCGGAAAGGGGAACGACGCAGGGAAGTGTCGTGAGAGGAGGAGGAGGCGTAGCCCATGTGCTGAGGCTAGGAGGAGGAGGAGGGGTGAAGACGGGATCACATCCGCTGATGGTCCCTGGCGGCCTCGTAAGCCTGCGGGGTCGATGTGAACTCGTACTGCCATAGCTCGGAGCGGTACTCAAACGGAAGGCTGGCCAAGAAACGATCGATAAGGGCCGCCTCGGGGAGGAACGTTATGTCACAAATGAGGCGGGCGTCCTGAAAGACCTGGATGTGGCGATCCAGGCCGACAGCGCTACCAGAGCCTGACCAGCGTGTAGTGACGACACGCTCGAAGGAGTCAGTCACGTCATAACGGGTTCCGAAGCGATCCTCGAGGAACGCCTGGAAATCCATGAAGGTCGGAGTACGGCCCGCACGAACGAAGTAAGCGTAGAAATCCACCCAGTCGTCGAAAGGACCGCCACGTAGGCTCGTGGAGAGGTGACCCACCCACGTGTCGGGTGTGGCACCCATGAGCTGGAGCGTGCAGGTGGCAGACTGTAGCCACTGAGACACGCGTATGCCTGTACTGTCATACAAGGTAATGTCCGTCAAGCGGATGAGTGGTGTGCCACCGTTTTGGCGGCGAGGAGAATGGCAAGCAGGGGACTGCACTACGACCGAATATGTCGGCGCAGGTCCTGAAGGAGGAGGCGCAGCTGACTGTACGTCCGGGCCGCATGGTGGAGCGGCGGGGGAAACAGCGGCGGGCTGCACGGGAGCTGCGGTGGAAGAGGTCGCAGCAACCGAGGGGATGGGGAGAAAAAGGATGGGGATGGGTAGGGTGCAGGGCGAGGGAAGCGAGCTTGCATGGAAGGAAGAATAGAGGAAGAAGGGGGTGCGCCGGAAGGCGCGGCCACCAACGAGGGTGAGGGTGGCTGAAGGCGTGAGAGGGCGAGGTCGGTCCGGAGCTGGGCGATCTCATCCTCGAGACCTCGAACGTAGGTCGAGCGAGGTGTGGCAAGGGGAGACGCACGAGCGGCGCGATGCATCCCACAAGGGGTCGAGCCAGATGGCGCTACGGTCGTGCGAAGAGGAGGGAGAAGTGGGGCACCCGGGAAAACTGTGACAATGGTAGCGGGTTGTGGTACCGTGGCCGTAGTGACCGGGGTCTGGGCGGGTGCGCCCGTAGACTGAGGGAGGACCTGACTCGTGGCGACCGTTGTGCTAGGGGCATGGACGGTCACCAAGATGGTCGGGTCGGGGGCAGCGGAGGAGGAAGCTCCATTGTGGCCACCCTGTTGGAGGACGGGGGACCCGGGCTGGGAGCCAGGAGAAGAGATAGGGTGAGTAGAGGAAGGACGACTAGCGTCCTGGAGTTGCCGCACGCCGGCGGCAAGGGTAGCCACCTGCGCCTGTAAGGGCGCGAGGGTCGCGAGTTGCACCTGGATGGGCGCAAGGGTCGCGAGTTGCGCCTGGATGGGCGCAAGGAGGGAGGTGAGGAGGGTGGGCAGATCCCCCTGGGGCTGATGGCCCTGGTCCGCCGACACGGGTGTGGAGCCCGATGCTGTGGTCATCGTCGTGTCGGCGGCGTGTGACACACCGTCGGCCATGAGGAGATGACGGACCGGACTGGAGGGGGCCAGAAGAGGTCCGCGTCAGCGGAGGGCGTAGGGGGAAGTCCGCGGTAGAAAGCGGCGAACGGCGCTAGCAAGGCTAGCGCGGGCTCCGTCAAAGGGGGAGGGGTGGTTCGGGTCCAGGGTGCCCGAAGAGGACGGGGAAGTAGGGGGGGGGTGAAGAACCCTAAACCCTACAAAAACCCTAAGAAAACCCTAAGAAAACCCTAAGAAAACCCTAACCGAAGTTTAAGTGGTTAGGGTAGGGTACCGGTGACCTAATCAAGAAAGTAAAATAGCAAGCATAGGGGGGGGGAAGGAGGGAAAAAAATAAATAAACAGCGAGATTTCGAAAGAAAATAAGAATAAATAAGGAAATAAATAAATAATAAAAAAAATTAAAAAAATGAGTAAAAAGATGTGAAGGGAAAACAATATTTATTTATTTTTATTTTTTATTTTATTTTTTTAATTTCGGTAGCATTTCCCTACCCCTCACGGGGTCAAGAGTGTGTCAAGGGAAAAGAAGAGACCAAGGTGAGCACACTAGGTGTCAAGATGCCACAAATAAAATTAAAAAAAAA